GAACTAGAAAAAAGTCACAACAGGGAAATTTTCAAATGTTCATGTCAAAGTCCATTGGAGTTTCTTGACAAGGGCTTCCAAAAGCATCCCTCTATTGGGTTCTTCCTCATTTTTCTTTTGTCTTCCAAGGCTGAACTAGTTGGCTGGGAAGAGTGGTTAGATACTCAGGTAAGGGTCCAGTGACCCTGCTTGGCACTCCTTTAATGAATGAGCACAACTGTCAGCAAGCCCAATTGTGACTATGTTTAGCGATCAGGCTCAGCCGAAGTTGTGATGATGGTAGTTATTTCATGTATGAACAAATGATGGAAAACAGAATTATATATTTCATTTGCACTCAAAGCTAACCATAGCCAGAAGTTACAGTATGATTAAAACAAGCTAATGCTTAAAAGTTTTAATTAAAAACAATTCCATGAAATGAGAGAATAAAGAATGGGATGGTGAGAAGTATTTAGTCTTAATATGGCAATACAGAATCAATTTATTATTAAAGACTAGTTAAGATTGACAATACCAAAAGCATAGAGTATAAGAAAATAGTTTATGAGTATGATTCAATTATAGCTGTCTACAGTCAACCCTTTCCCATAGTAGCATGCAGGAACTTAGAAAGAATGAGAGGTAAAAACACAGGAGCACAGCACACAGGGTCAGAGGAGCCAGCATGCCAAGTCTGCAGGGCTGGTGGTCTGTGACAGCCCAGCTCAGGCTCAAGGAGGTCCTTTACTTCCTATGAGAAAGAAGGGAGAAAGACTGCGAAGGCAACAAACCCATAATCATCTCACTGCCCAGTGTCTAAGAAGACACACTGTAGCAAACAGTTATGAGCTAATTCTCAGAGATGTCTAGAGGTCGTAGAGTGTATGAATAAAAGTTACAAGATAAACATAATAATGTCTATTAAGTAGTTATTCTGAACACATTGTACTTGTCCCATTTTGTCTCAGGCTGTTCTGGAGGCAAGAAACTGGCTCAGGCCATCTTTGGGATCAGTTCTTATAAGGTGCCCCAGAAGAAGCCATGTGCTACTATGTCTAACTCAGGTGTTCTCTAGCCAGAGAAATAAAAGCACTGATGCCATGTGGCCATCTCCAGGAGCCTGGGGCAGCTCTTCCAGACCTCCATTCAAGCCAAACTGAGATTCCTGGTTTCAATTGCTGATGGGAGTTTTATCAATAGCTAGTATAAAGGTAGTTCAATACAGACTTAAACTGAGAGTTAAAGGCAAGAGTTGCTCCAAGAGAGAAAAACATGGAGCCATATCTGAGCCAGCAGAGTTTCCAGGGACGAAATGTGCCCCTCCCCCAAACAGGCCACATCTGCCTGCATACAGAGCCATGCTGCAGGAAACAGGGAGCAAAGGACAAGGCCAAAAGGATGAGACAGGAAGACCAGTCCCATAATTCATCTCCAGCTCTGAAGATGAGTTAACATATTCAAACAAACCTATAGCTAACTGGAGTTTAAATTTTTTTCAAATCATTTTCAGGCCTTTAGAGGTCTGAAAGCAACACAAACCAGACCAAAAATGTCAAAACCAAAATACTTCCAAAAGCCAGCAAACCAAAGATACTTTAAAACAAACACTATGAAAGCAAACCCAAATCAAAAGGTATGTAACAAATAACGTCCTTAAACAACCGGTTCAGATATATATATATATTTTTTTCCTTTGAGACAGGGTCTCCCTCTAGCCCCAGCTGGCCTGGAACTCACTATGCAGACCAGTCTGGCCTTGAACTCACAGAGGTCTGCCTGCCTTTGCCTTGCAAGTCCTGGGGTTAAAGTTGTTTTGTATAAACAACTAGCACTTAAACGTTTTGTGAAACACTTAATAAACATAGAGACATTGTCCAATAAATTTAAAGATATTTAGGTACCCAAATTTATAAGGCCTTTGAATGTACTATCGAAATATCCGTATTTATAAATCTGCACGTGTATTTAATTAGGCATGCCAAAATAAAACCAATAATTTCGTGCCCAATAAATGAATGAACATAATAACTGAAGGGCCAGTTTGTTTTGATGGAAACATATGAAGACAATAATCACAGACACACATGACAGAATTACTTGAGATCTCAGCACAGGAGACATAACATGACATAATTACATGAAATCCCAAACAACACATGGAAAATGATTATCATAGACACAAATGACATAATTCCACTAAAACTAGGTGTACCCAAAACATAAAAAATCAAGCAGTTTGATTAATATGGTCCTTTGCATGTAGGCACTTGTCTTTTAAGATCTGGATTGGAGGAGAATGCTTCCTCCATAACCTCCTCATAGCTGTGGGGAAGTTCTCCCTCCTCTTCTGGTAAGTATGAGGCTGGGTTTCAGGGTTCAGGTAGCCTCCATCTGGACTCAGGGATTCCTACCAGCATGACCTGATAACTAAGTCACTCAACTTCATATTAAGTTTTAACTTGGAGGGTTTTATCTCAATGTGTAGAACCCTGAGACCCTCTTCATTCACCCGCTAACCCCCAATCCCTCCAGACCCCCACTAATTGCTCTTTTAGCTTCTGTAAAATGCTTGGCTGCTGCTTTAGACATGCCTAGACATACCCTGGCAGCCCTGACCCCCACCTGCTATTCCCCACCCCCTTAAACTGCCCTTTAAGGTAAAAATGGAGACTCCTGGCCCCACAGGTAACAGTCAGCACATTCCACAGCCCTGAGAATAGCACCTACCAATAAGAAACTTCCAGGGCTGCATCTTATACATCCAATCAGTTTAAAATTATGTTGGCACACGTGGGCTCCTTGAACCAACCAAAATGTATCTTTGGTATCTCCCCCCACCTTTTGTCTAAAACCTATAAAAGGCTCCACTCTCCCTTACTCTGGGCTCTCAGCACGGATTCGTTGAGTTGGTGATGTCTGAGATCCTGAGCTTAAGCCCGAATAAACCATAAACTTTTGCTTTTGCATTTTGGAGTGTTGGGTCCTCGGTGGTCTTTTGGGGGTCCAGTGGTTGGGGTACAACAAATGTATAATCTCCTACATAGCCTAGTTTAAAGTTGTCTGGCATCACCTGGAGGACAGTCTGGGTCTGATACTTGGACTGGGAGGAACCCACCTGAAATTTTATATGTGACTGGGGGGTAATGTGTGCGTAGGAGGGGGTGGAGAGTATTAGTCTCCCTCATTCAGATGCCTTCGTGGCCGGCCACCTCTTGGTGATTTAAGAGGTCTTACCTTAGGGCCACACTTATAATCCCCATGCTCGGTCACCTGAAGGTGAGTGCCCGTTTAGGTGACACCACCTCAGTGGAACCGTAGGGTGAGGCCCATTCAGATTCCGTAGCCTCACAGAGCTGTGGAACCATTACTTTTACTCTCACATTCACACACAATCATTTGCAGTTTAAGACAGTTGTTCCCTAGTTATTCCCACTAAATCCCTGTTCTGCCTAAAATGGCCTGGTTTGCTACCTGATTCTTCTTTTACCTTAAATGGGGCCAGCACCTCAGAATCACATCAAGGTTTAGTTGTGGTCCCCTTCATTCCTGACTGGAGGCCAGTGCCATCTTGAAATCACATCAAGACATCGTATGCAGCCTCCTGTGGGGGATCAGCCTGCACTGGCTTCCACCTGTCTAACCTGGGGCCCATTACCTGGTCTAGATGTCCATTCTAGGTCTCCATCTCACTTCACCTGATGAGAGGCTTTGGTCCGGGGCTATGCAGCTCTTTCTGGCCTCCTGGAAGGAGACCCCCAGAGGAAATTCTTCTGGGGTGCACACATCTCTGTTCTGGGGACCGAGGGGGCTGCAGGGTCCAGGAGCAGCAGCCTCTATTACCAACAAGGGTACTGTGACTTGTTCTCACTGGGGACCTCCAGAAATGTTACAGGAAAATTAGAGACCAGCAGCCAAAGTCAGGTGAGGAGAGTGATTTAATTTTATGCTAGTGGACTGACCAAGGGATCCTTCCATAAAGGAGCCAGTGCCCCCTCCAGTTTTAGGGGTTTTTATATTCATGTAAGGAAGACAAGTAAAAGACAAAGCAGCACATAGGTGGCAATTAAGTAAAAGGTACACGTGACAATTAAGCAAGGTAATATATGGCTGTAGGGATTACAAAGACTTCCTTTCAGGTTGACCATAGGGGGCAGGATGGAGGAAGACTCCAGCTTATCTCCCCAGTCTTATCTCTTGTCTAGGAGCTCTCCCTGCTCCAAAGTTCTTAATTACCATTACATTGCAGAAGCCTTCCACCTCCACAATAATAGAACTTCTAGTTAAGTGTGCAAAAAATAAAAATTTTGGAACATCAAATATCCTCCACTGAGGGACCAAGTTACCTTTGGTTAGATCTTCCAATTTTTCCAAATACTTGCAAGTTGAAAGTCCATAATTATCATATATAAAACCAACTAGAGTACCAGATGGTAGTTTATCTTCAAACACTTCCTTCTATTTTGAAAACTTTTTGTTGTTGTTGTGGTAGTTGTTGCTGTTTTCCTGAAAAATTGCATGCCTTTCTATGCTGACTAGGGAATCTGTGTTTTGGATTTGGTTTCCGTGTTGCTTTTGGGATGGTGTTTCTCAGCTTTCACCCTGAGACTCTCTTCTTCCACTGGGTCTGGGTTATCCTGTCATGTTTAAGGAAATGTAAGTGGGCTCAAGACACTGGGGGATCAAGCCCTATGTGTGAGTTCCAGGGTGAGCCATTACATATCATTACCCCCTGACACCTCCATCCTGTAAGGCTGGAAGGAAGAAGTGCCTCTTATCTTCCGAGTCTTTATGATCAGGCACTCATAATATTCCTAAACTAAAGACAGCAAGATTGCAGTAAACAGGAGAAGTTACAGAAAGAAAATGCAGATTTAGGTATTGGAGGAACACCTGGAGACAAAGGCCAAGTACATCAAAACATATCAAAGATAAAGACAACCACAACAAAACAAAACAAAACAAACAAAAACCCAAATGACCTAGACTTAGAGAACTTCCCAGCAGGGTTCTGTACCTACCTGATTCTGATATACATCCTGAAAGAACAGAGAGGAGCAGAGCTCCCACCACAAGCTTCTGCATTGTGCTGTCCTGTCCGGGACTTCAGCTGGTAGGAGGGAGAGCAGCAAACGTCTCTGCAGAGAGACACTCGTGTTTAACCTTTATATTGTACCGATGGGGAAATACCTTGTTTGCACAGCAGAAGACAATGTTCTAAATGGCAAATATTAATTGAACCATGATATGATTCTGAAATGAATGTGTTTCCTTTTCAGATCTATGCTTCCTATTCTGAATCTCTCCATTGTTTTCATTATTCTGTTTCCTTCTGAGATGTCCTGTCCACACCCTTCTCCCTTAGGCCCAGGAAAGAGGCTCTGTGTCCTCCAGCAGGGACAC